TATCAGTATTCGTGAGTACCCGAGTGCTGTCCCGACCGCCCTCGGCTTTCAAGTCGAGTTCTTTCCGGATACGGTCGGTACTTCCGTTATTGTCATTATTTTTTCGTGTTTTCATTTTTTTATTGCGGCTTGGTTGGCACCGCCGGCGCGGCGCGCGAAACTGACTAATCTTTTAACTGCCTGCTCCGCCGGCGGCTGCTGTGGCTGCTGCCATTCGGGCGTCCTACCCCGCCGCCACCGCTTTCACCGGGCAAGACCAAGACCGCCCCGAGGAGGTTTTGTCCGACTTGGTCTTTGTCGCGCGGCGCGCGGTGGTGGTGTGGTGGCGGGGCTGGGGAGGGGAGAGGGCTGGCTAATTACTGGATCCCGATTGGTCGCGAGGTGCCGCCTGCCGGCCTGCCGGTGCCACCCGCCCCGCGATGGGACGCGGTCTCACTTTCGCGCGCGATCCCGCAGCAGCAATGCTGCCAACCTGCTGCCAACCCGCGGCCAACCCAGCCAACCCACTGCCAACCCGCGGCCAACCCGCTGCCAACCCACTGCCAACCCGCGGCCAACCCACTGCCAACCCACTGCCAACGCACTGCCAACCCACTGCCAACCCACTGCCAACCCGCGGCCAACCCACTGCCAACCCACTGCCAACCCACTGCCAACCCGCGGCCAACCCACTGCCAACCCGGCGGGCAGGCCGTGCGTGCTCTTGTTATCCGGCGCGGCCCCGGGGGGCAACTGTCATTCTCACCCAGACGAACAGAGCGGACGGCCTGGCTTACCGAAAGTGGCTGCTTATTGTATCGGCCGGTCTGTCTGTCTGTCTGTCCGTCCGTGCGCGCGTGTGCGTGGATTCGAATCTGGAACAACCTGGGGCCCCCTTCGGCCCCTTCCTCTCCGGCCATGCCTAATTGCACCGTTTTGCTGAAGCCGACCAAGACTGCTCGTGCTTGAAATCCTACTGCGTACCGCGTTCGCTGCTGCCTTGAAAGGGCTCCGGGCAGGGCTCTGCGCCTCGCCGCGCGAGCGTGTGTGTGTGTGTGTGCGTCGGCATTCTGCGCGATGCTCGTTTGCTTTTTCACACCGCTGCCTGCATGGCTTGCCCAGGCTTCGCACGCCGCCCCTCCGTTAATGAGGTCGCCGGTAATGATGATAGAGAGCATGCTAATTTTCTCTCTCTGTCTCTCCTCCCCGCGCGGCGTGGCGGCGCGTGCGGGATCGGCGTGCGTGCGTTCGCCGACCTGCCCCGCGGCCCCGTGGTGGTGGAGCATCATCGCTGTGAGGACCAGACGGGCGTTTACCAGTGCGGTGGCCTCAACGTGTTCTCTTTCTCTGTGTTGCAGGAGGCCATGCGTCTACGGCGCGCGTGTAGGTGACGGCGACATGGACTCCTCGGCGGGCAGGGTGATCCGGGCGCCCTCGCTCAAGCGGGGGAAGGGCGACGAGACGCACATCAGCCAGCGGGTGAGTACATGAACCTGGTGGTATGGGGACAAGCTTTGGGCCAGACCGAGAGTGCAGTCCCTGTCACGCTGCATGCCCTGCTCCGCTGCGCCCGGCGCACACGGGCCAGGCAGCCCATCGCGCAGCGCGCGCAGCTCGCAGGTCCGCCCTGGTCCGCCCGGCGCGTAGGCCGCCCATCGTGCGCCGCGGAGCCTTCGCAGTGCAGCGGTGGCAGCGGTGCCCAGGCCGGGCGGCAGCGCCACCTGGCGGCCGCGCCGCAAAGCCGCGAAGCCGCGAAGCGATCCGCCGCGCCGACCGACCCGCGGCTCTGCGTCGTGACGGCGCGTTCGTCTTGAACGTGTGCCGGAAGGCGTGGTTTAGTACCTGCCAGGCCCATTTGAACGTTCTACCGCCAGCCAAGCGGCGGTACCACGTCCTCTTGGCCCGTCAACGTCGACTTTGGCGGCGGTCATCGAAGGGACACGCGTCGTCGTTCTCCCCCTTCTAGAGCTTTCATCGGACGGATGCTGTTGGTTTTCTTCTGGCGGCCGTCGTCGGGGCTCGAACCCAGGCGCTGCGCTCTGAGACGTGGTCGTCGGCCCCCGGTCCGGTCCAGGTGCATCCTGCTCGGCGACAAGGACGGATGCTTTGGGCTGGGCGCGGCAAGGCGCGGCGAGGCGTGCGCATGCAGCGGCTGGCTGGCTGCTGGCTGGCTGCTGGCCCCACGGGGGCACGGGGCCCATGGCGGCACCTGCTGCCCACTCAGCTGATCGAGGAGCCGGCACAAGGTCGGCAGAGGCGGAGAGGAAGGCCGGCGGAGGGGAGGGGAGGCGGCTGCTGGCGCGACCGGTATGAGCCGCGGGGGCCGGCTGGCATGTCAAACGCGCCGCCCCGCCTCGCCCAGCTACGCCGCTGCCCAAATAGTCTAATCCAATTTGTTTGAATGGTGTAGCGCCGTGCCCGGCCGTGCCTGCGTGTTGCTGTGCTTGTTCTTGGAACGCCAAAGCAAGGCGGCGCGGTGCGGCGGCCTGCCACCATGCTGCCACGGCCCGGGCCAAGCGCCAAGCGCGCTGCGTGGGAGGGACTGGCGGGGCGCGAGGCCTGCGAAGGGAAGGACGGAGCCGAGCGCACCGATTTCCATCGAAATGGCTTTCTTGTCGATCGACTACGTTTTTGGCGGTTCTCGTGTGCCGACGTTTTTTATTTTTCTCACTTTTCTCGTCTCCGGATACGCCACCGGTCCTGGCGCACGGCACGGCGCGCTGCGAGTCCTTATCGGTGTGTAAACAATCCGAAACAATCTCGGTGCAGGGCCAGCCGCCGCAGGCACGGCACGGCGGCGACCGGGCCCCAGACCAGGCCCCAGACCAGGCCCTAGACCAGGCCCCAGACCAGGCCCTAGACCAGGCCCCAGACCAGGCCCCAGACCAGGCCCTAGACCAGGCCCTAGACTTGGCCCTTGACTAAGCCCTAGACCAGACCCTGGACCAGACCCTGGACCAGGCCATATAGACTAGGCCCTAGACCAGGCGGGTTGGCGGCGGCAACAGCATCTTTGCTCTGCCTTTCCCTTTCTCCTTGACTGACGGGGTGGTCCGCTGGCCGTCCAGGAGCGTTATCCGCTGCGACGCGGCCTGGCCTACCGGGCTGGCCTAGGCGCGGCCCACGCCGACGCGCGACGCACGCATTGGTAGCGACTTGGCAGCCCGGCCTGCCTGCCTGCCTGCATGCGTGACTGCGGACAACAACGCACGCGACGTCCCTTGTTTGGCCACAACTGTCCGCCCAAAGCTCGTTCCGCCAAGAGCATTTCTTTCCATTTCTTTCCCTCAATAGCATTTTTCAGCCTAGAGCATTCCCCCTCACCCCAAGAGCAATTTACAGCCAAAAGCATTTCTCTCCCCTCCTCCCCTGAGACCATTTTCCCGCCAAGAACATTATTTATGTATCACTTTTCTTGATCCATACCTCGTTCCTCTTAAGCGCAGTTTGTTGGGAGGCAGTACTGGCCACAAGGGACGCACGCCGTTCCGGCGGACGCGCCTCGCCCGTCGTCGTCGTCGTCGTCGTCGTCGTCGTCGTCGTCGTCGTCGTCCTTCCTGCGGCCAATGTCCTCCCGGATATTATTTTATTGTCGCCCCGTCGCCGGCGCGCACCTGCAGGGCCAGCAGGGCCTGTGCGGGGCCTGCAGCACGTGTAGCGGCCTTATCTCTCCCCCCCCCGCCCCTCCCCGTCCTGGGCAGTCCTGGGCCTGACGGGCCGGGGCCCCGGGGACCTGTGTGTGTTTTTGCGCCCTTTGTTGACAACGTCGCCGGCCTGCCCGCCAGTACGTGTGTGTGTGTGACAGCAGCCGTCCGGGGCGTCCATTTTTCTTCCTTTCTTCGTGGCTTTTTCACTCGGGAACGACGGCGGCGGCGGGGACGCGGCGTGGAGGAGTCGGCGGTGCCGCCGCCGGGGACGCGATGTCAACGTCAGGGCCTTCACAGCCATCGCGGCGACGCCGTGACATCGCGACGCCCGGCACCGGGGGAGATATCCGGCCGTGTGCACTTCACCTGCACGTCGGTCAGGACGTCTGGGAAGCGGAGGGGGGAAAATTGAGTGGAGTGGTGGTGCTGTCGGGCGACCTCGGCCGGGCGTCGTTGAGGTGCCCGTCGTGTGCGATCCAGGACGCCCAGGACCTCCAGGACGCGAGGATCACCGGGGCGATCGGGTTTCCCGCGCTTCGCCTTGACCGCGGCCGCCCGAGATCCGAGATCCATGTCGCGGCGACCACGTCGTCGTCGTGCCAACGCCGCGAACGCCCTCCTCGCGCCGCAATAAAATTAATTTCCAATGAAATGACATGAAATTTTTGGAAGTAATTATTTTTCATTGTGACCTAGCTGCGGCGGTGAGTGCACTCTGCGCTGCAGGCGGCAGGCATCCCGCGGGCCTTGCGGGCCTTCTTGACCTGGAAACGCGCGGCGTCCTTTGGCTCGAGAATGCACACTCGAGGCGCGCACGCCTCGCCTCGCCTCGCCTCGCCTCGCATCGCATCTGTTCTGCGCTCGCGCCTCGCGCTCACCTTTCGGCCTTTCTGGCCGTCCATGCTCGCTGACCCCAGGAGAGCGGTTCGTCGCACCGTCTGCCTCGCACCCTTATGGCGAGCCCCGTGAGTGCGACAGAGACGATTCTCCTGAATCGCGCGGCAGGGCGCTTCGTGGCCACGGCCCGCCGCGCTGCCGTGGCGTCTCGGCGACACAGCACTGGGACGGGCATAGCAGCCTGACCCCTGCTCCCTGTTCCCCTTGCTGTTTGCTGCCCCGACTTGTTTGCTCCGCGATTTTTGCGAGTTTTGAATTGCCTTTGTCCTGGCCGTTCCTTCGTTCCGTCTGCCTCGTACGGTCTAGGTGGCTGCCGTGGGCCGCCCCGCTACGCCCCGCCCCGCCCCGCCCCGCCACGCCCCCCGTCGCCACGCCTCGCCGCGACGCAGTGGCCGCGGCCGCGGCAGCCAGTCTGGCGAGCGCCGTCGTCGCGCCAACACCGCGTCCGCCCGTTGGTGCGCCGCCTGGCGGTCTTGCCTCCGAACGCACTCCGCTCGCGTCGTGTGCCCGACGACGTCATCGCCGTCCTCGTCCCGGTGACGTCCGTCCGCCCAGGACGACGCGATCGTGATAGTGCTGCTCCCCCCGTGTGGGGCCGATGGGCGCGTAGCGTGCCGTGCCGCGTCTCACGGAAACAGTCTTTCGCCGCCGAAAGGTCCCGTGACAGACGCTCCGGCCGCCGAGGCCCCGTCGAGGCCCGCCGTGGGCGCGTCGAGTGGTGCGTCTAGAGTCGAGATGCATGGATGTGTGGATGGATCACACCTGGGTAACGGCCTTGACGGCGACGCCGGGGGTGCGTCACTGCGTCGCACTCTGGCCCCCCGTCGAGTGGATCGGAGTGGCGATAGGCGCTGAGGATAACAGTGTGGCTGGCTGGCTGGCTCTGCGGTGCAGGTGAACGAGATGCAGTCCTTTCGGCTGCAGTGGACCTGCCACGGCCGCGTCCAGCCGGGTGTGGAAAAGTTGCGCTGGCTGCGTGGAATGGTAGAATGCCGAGCCTAAAGCGATTTTTACGACGGCCGAGGTCTCCTTCGCTGGCGCGGGCGTGTTTTGCGGTTTTACAGCGTGCTGGCCGTGTAGCGTTCGTTGCACGTGCGCGTCGCTTGGCCCGGCCGAGCATGTGTGTTTTACGGTGGGGCGGCCGTCTTCGGCCCTGGCTGCCTTGCCGTGGCTGGCCGTGGCTCGCCCTGGGTGCGCCGAGCCTCGTGCGTCGTGCGGCCAATTGACTTGTCGGTGATCGTGCAGTAATGAGTGTAGGAGTGAGGCGGGCGGGGAGGCGATGGCAAAAAAACGCGCCGCCATGTTGCATCTGCAGCCCCACGGCCTCCTTCACGGCCTCCACGACCTCGGCGTCGACGGTCCGAGGGCGCCGCCACCGCAAACCGCGGGGGGATTGGCTGCAACGCGCGCGTCGCCCGGCCGTCTGGATTCGGGTCTGCTTGTCTGTCTGCCCGTCCGTCCGTCCTCGCGTGACGACCCCCAAGTTATCGCCCCATTGTGTGACGGCCGGCGGACAGGTGCCCACGCGCCGGACCTGGCGGGCTGGCCGACGCGGTGCTCGGGGCGGCGCAGCGCGTGGCGGCGTGGCGGCGTGGTCACACATGGAGTAGCCGAGTGGCCTGCCCTGCCCGCCGCGCCGCGCGCCGCTATCAGCGGATGGAAAGCGTGCCGGCCGCGGTCCGCGGCTTGGTCCGCGGTCCCCGCCCCGGGCAGCGCGGGCAGGGCAGTGCGGGGAAGGCCGCGCCGGCCGCGCCCCAGGCGGTGGGCTGGGCGCCATCGTGCCAGCCCTGCCCCTGCCCGCCCTGCCAAATGACTAGGGCCGCCAGATGGTCGTCGAGTGCACCTCTCTGGCGGTGTGGCTCTGCTGCAGTGGCGGCGCTCGGCGCGCCGTGTCGGAATGGGATTAGCTCAGCCTTCGCTCCCGCGCCCGGTCCTCATCGCCGTGTCCGTGTCGCAGTGGGAGCGCCGCTCCTCCTCCTGGTCCTCGCCGTCGTCGTCCTCCCGCTGCTTCTCTCTGAAGGCTTTTTTCGTCTCTTCTATTCTCGCTGTCGTTATTGAGGCGCCGTGCCCCGCCCGTCCCTCTTATTGCCTCGAAAATTGAAAAGGCTATAATTATCTCTTTTTTTTCGGGGGATCCTTGAGGAGCTGTTTCGCGGGTCGCCCCCTCCCTCTCTCTCTCTCACTCCGCGGTGGTCTACCGATTAGTTTGTTTTCTCGTTTACTCGGCCGCCGTGATTGCACACTGACAGTGTGTCAGTCAGACAGGGTCGTCTTTTTTCATTTTCCCGTGTTTTTTTTTTTTTCGCTGTGCACTCTGGACAGGTGTCGGCGCGTCCCTGAGTCGCGCTGCCGCCACTGCTCTTAATTACTCGGGCCCTGACGCTGACGGCGTGCTGTCTCCGTCTTCGTCTCGACCCGTCGCGTCAAATCGGCTCCGTGGGGGTCCCCGCCCCGCCAGGCCCCGACAGGCCCCGACAGGCGCGGCCCAGCGGCCCATACCCAGGCCGTCGAGGGCCTCGGCGTCGAAGGCCGTCGTCGCCGAGGCCGCCGGATGATCCGCGACGTTTATCGGCGCTTGATTAGGCCGCCTGCCGACTGGCGACGCACGCGAGGCACTCGACGCCCTCGCCGACGGCTGGCGGCACCGCTACAGTGGCGCGGCGCGTTTGAAACATCGGCATGCAGGCAGGGGGGCGTCGACAACGACAACACACATGTCGGCAGTGATGCTGCGCCGGACCGATACCAGCAGACTGATTCCGAGAGTCGTTTTCGTCGCCCTGCATCTCTCTCGCACCTATACGGGACGCCCTCGTGAGTGCGAGAGAGACGGAGCGACGCAAACGACTCTCGGAATGGGTCTGCAGGCCTGCTGGCAGCCATTCCTTCGGGTCCGCGTCGATGTCGACTCGTTTCCGTCGCGTCGGGGCCGTGTACGTCGCGTACGTCGCGATGCACCGACCGGGACGGGACGAGGGGCCCGGCCGTGTCGTCCTGGCCGTGAATGTATTCCGCACACAGTTCGATTGCGTGTTTGTTTTCGTAATTCCCACCTGTCAGCGCCGCGGACACCGACACTGTCACCGTACTCGCCACGCCGCGCCACGAAACGAGGCGGCGGGTCGCTCGCTGAGGTGCGCTGGTGCGATCCACACTCTGGTCCCGGCCGGCCAGCCTCCCTCCAGTGCGGGCGCAGGCTGCTTTTGTTGGCGGCGGAAAGGCGCATCGCGCGCCCTGCTTCCGCGGCGAGCTCGGCGCCGTGGTGCTAGACTCCGTGCTCCGCGAGGCTCTCGGTGGGCTGCCCGGGGTGCTGCGTCACGGGGTTGGGTAACGCAGTGTATCGCCGGGTGACGGTGATGCATCGAGCCCGTCGAACGGGCCATGGCGCGGACCCCGCCGCCGCCGCCCGCCGCGCTTCCTCGACAGGGGGACAGGACGGGCTGGGCCGCTGGGCCAGGGCAGGGGAGACGCGACGAATAGGCCCTCGAATAGGTCTCAGGAATAGACTTTCGCTGCTGCTCCATCGCCTGCAGCCAGCCTGTCTGTCTGTCCGTCTGTCGCGATGTCCACGCGCCGCGGTCGGGACCGTCTCTAGCAGAGGAGCCCGGCTCGGGGACTTCCGGTCTGGGCGCCATCCCGTGGCGGTGACGGCGGCAGTGCGCGTCCGGGGCGCGGCAAAGGTCGCCCTGGCCGTGCTCGTCCTCGTCGTCGTGCCGCGGCTCGGCATCAGCGCCGCGACGGCCTGGGTCCGCTGCGTCGTCACTGTCGTCACCGCCGCAAACTGGCCGAGCATGACTGAAGCCACGACTGCCGCGCCGACTGCCGCACGGGCTGAATGGAGGCGAAAATGTGCGGCAATTTATTCCGAGGAGCGACTCGTTAGCGTCGAGACCGACTGTACAGCGGCACTGCGCCGCACTGCGCCACTGCTGGACCGTTGACGACATCGCCGCGCTGGTAGAGCCCGTCAAACGGCAGGCCGATCAGGCCAGCCAAGAGTACGGGCGGAAAACAACTTCTAAGGAACTAGCTGATGCAGAGGCCGACCTGGCTGGCCAGAGCGGACCATCTCGGCCCAAGAAACGAACTTTGCAGGTGTGGCCGGCCCGCTCTGGCCACGAAGGTCGATCTTTTTAATCTCCTGGTCACCTGGGTCGGCGTGATTTTGCTGTGGCCTGCCCGACCTGGGCCGCCAGCACGGGCTGTCTCCTCATGCGAAAACGTTTCATACGCAGCCGACGCTGCGCCGGTGTACCGCTGACGCGTCGAAAGTGACAGAGGTTCAACACCAGCCAGCGGTAAATTTTTTTTGGCACGAAAACGGAAAATATATATCTGCAGAGACGGATCGTGGTCTCAGAATGACATTTCTTCCGCGTTTCCTGAATTTGGAGAGTCAGAAAGCCGATAAAAAGGCCTGCCTCTGGATGGTATCGATCCTCCGCCCGGCCGGCCAGCGCTGCGACACCTACGGGACGGCAGCTGGTCTGCTGGCCCAGGTCGGCCAGGTCGCTGGTCGGTCAGGTCGTCTTCTGACAGCGCAGGCCGTACGGGCCAGAATATGAAAGAATGGGCCTGCCAGGTCTGCAGGTCTAGCGGCAGGCCGCGCCGACCCGACTTAAAGGAGATTTGGCCCAGCTGGCCCATGATAAAAGGGCACAGGTCGCGTGGGTCACACGTTTTCATACTTGGTCAGGCCGGTCGGGCCACGCGTTAAAATAAGATTTTTCCCGTCTGGCCCGTTCGGCCTGCCGTTTGACGGGCTCTACGCGCTGGACCGCTGGACGCGGGTGCCGTTGTCGTGGTGCCCCGAGGGGCGCCGCCCGCCACGCCAGTCCGCGCGGCAGCCTGCAGTCGATGTTGCAGGTCGCGCTGTAGGTCATGCTGTCAGCTGTCGTCCCCGCGGGGCCCCGCCTGGCCTGCTCCGTGGGGGACTTGGAGGCCCTTGGCGGCGCCGCGGGGCGTCGCAGTGCAGCACCGCGACGACGACGGTAGCGCAGCGGCAGTGGCGGGGCAGGCCGCCGGGTCAATGCGCCGCGCCGACGGGACGGGACACTCCCCGGGAGGCGCCCCTCCCTGGGGCAGCGCCCGGCAGCGCCCGGCAGCGCCAGGGCCAGGAGCGCCCGCGGAAGTCGGGGTAGGCAGCTCTGCAGCGCACGCCTGCTCGGCGGGACAGTGCAGCCGCAGGCGGCCGGACGCGCGCAGTGGACTGATTCTTCTCTCCTCTCTGTCTTTCACGCACCGCACACCCTGCATGGGTGCGAGGAACATACACCGACGAGGGTGACACTGCGCGGAACCACTCTGCAGCTTGGCGTACACGGCGCTGCCGCCTGCTCGTGCTGCCGCTTGCGACAGCCGAAACGGGGGCTGGTAGGGAGTCTGTGTCTGCCTGCGCTGCCGTGCTGCGGGCTGCACGGCGGCCGCCTTGGCGGGCGCGGCCTTCTGTGGATAGTCTCTCCCGGCGATTTGCTTTCCCTTTCGGTGTAGTGGCTTGGCTTGCCCGCTTGTCGTCCGATGTGGATGTGGGGCGACGCCCGAGCCGGGCTGGCCCGGCCCCGACGGTGCGCCGCTGCAGCTGCACGGCGCCGCCAGGCGGCACGACGCGACGCGGCGGCCGCACGGAAACATGCACACGGACACACACAGACGCGGCGCAGGAAAATCGCTGGCGCTGCGCTTTTGCTGGATTTGGCTCGCCGCCGCCAGCGCCACGGA